ATGTTTGCATTTAGTTTTCCTAAAACAGTATCTGAAAGTATTTTAGTTGATGAGTTTTTCCCACTCATTATTATTTCTCCTTTCTTTCTTTTTTTTTGTACTAAGGATTGAACCAAGGGTTGTTTTACCACTGAGCTATTTCCACAGTCCTTGTTTATTTTGAGACAGGATCTTACTAAATTGCTAAGGGTCTCACTAAGTTGCTGAGGCTGTGGCAGGAGGATCTCAAGTTCAAGGCCAGCCTCAGCAACTTAGTGAGGCCCTRAGCAACTTAGGGAGACCCTGTCTCAAAATAAAAAATGAAAACGGCTGGGGATATGGCTCAGTGGTTACAAAAAAAGAAAAAGAAAGCGGCTATGGGAGCCGGGCATGGTGGTGCAAGCCTATCTATCATCCCAGCTACTAGGAGGATGAAACAGGAGGATTAAGTTTGAGGCCAATCTGGGCAATTTAGTGAGACCCTGTCTCAAAATAAAATAGGTCTGGGGATGTAACTCAGTGGTGAGGGCTTGCCTGGCATGTACGAGGCCCTGGGCTCAACCTCCAGTACTTCAAAATCCAAAACAACAAACAAGTCAAAAGCCCAAATCAAACCCCAAAATAAAAAAAAAAACAGCTATGGGTTTTCAGAAAAGCACAGATGAAATGCCCCTCTCATTGTGTCATGTCTGGGGTGCATCAACGATTTATCAGGGCTGATGTTAATCTTTTTTTTTTTTTTAATATTTTTTTAGTTGCAGATGGACACAATCTCTTTACTTTTATTTGTTTTTATGTGGTGCTGGAGATTGAACCCAGGRCCTCCCACATGCAAGGTAAGCGCTGTACCACTGAGCTATAGCCCCAGCCCCTGATGTTAATCTTGATGACTGATTAAGGGATATCTGCAGGTTTTGCCATTGTAAAATTACTGTTTTTCATATTGTACTCTTTGAAGTCTCTTGGGTCCAGCCCATACTCAAGGAGGGGGAATTAAACTATACCATTTGGAGGGGTCACACCTTCATATATCACTTAGAATTGTGTAAGGAAGATGTTTCTTTTCTCTCTCATTTATCTTAATTGTTCATTCAATCATTTGTTGATATCACTATAGTGATATAGTCTACAGACTCATGAATATTTATAGACTATAATCCAATACTTTGCAATTCAAATTGTCTTAACTTTGTCCATTGGAAGCTCTTTGCAGTTGGCTCCTGTGTTCTTTTTGTTGTTGTTGTTTGTTTTGGTACCAGGGGTTGAACCAGGGGTGTTTAACCACTGACCTACATTGCCAATCCTTTTTAATATTTTATTTAGAGACAGGGTCTTGATGAATTAATTGCTTAGGCTTAGCTAATCTGCTGAGGCAAGCCTTGAATTTGCAGTCCTCCTGCCTCAGTCTCCTGAGCCACTGGGATTATAGGTGTGAGCCATTGAACGTGGCTTCTGTGTTCTTTTGACATACTGCAGCCCCTCACCCTTTTTTTCTCTGAGGATTTCCTACAAAATGATCCAGGCTCATCTTGCATTTCCCCTGTACTAGTCCTGGAATTAGTCATTTCTCAGCTGCAGTGGGTGGGGTGGGGTGGTCTCACCTTCTATAGGAGGAAACAGCTCTAGTTGGCCTAGTCTTCACTATCTGGAGTTTCTGCTCTTTTCTGACCAACTGCAGACAGCTAGCAGTCCCACCCTTTCCTCCTARGGCCAAATGACCCTTGGGGAGCTCTGCCTGGCTTCATTGCCCGCCTAGGGTTCCAATCTTGAGCCAGCAGGAAGCTTGCCCTTGCCAAACTGCGTGGGCCAGGGCAGGAGGAAGGAGGGCAGGAGGAAGGAAAGCCTGAGGGGGAGTAGCCCTTTTGAGTTCTCTTTTCCCTTTTCCTGGAACCTTGCTACTCTTATCAAGGAGGAAGAGGGAGGTAAGGAGGAGCCGTTGGAAAACCTGAAACAGAATCTTTAAAGAAGAGTGCCAAACTTATGTTAGTTGAAGTTTGGTAAAAGATATCTTCATTTGCAAAGGTGCTGGAGAATCTACTCTTAAAGTGGAAACTTCATCCTGACTCTAACTTTGGTTAAGTCAGTTAACTTTTTTGTATCTCAATTTTTTATATGTACTATGGGCATGCGAGCACTTCCTGCAGAGTTTGTGCTTAGATGGCCAACACGTCAGACAGAGAGCCACAGTAACTGAGACTTGACTTCAAGTCCAGTCTCTGAAATTTTCCAGCTGTTGACTTGGAGGAAATTACCCAAGCTCTCTTTGCTTCAGTTTTCTCATCAGTGAAACTGAGGGTGGCCACAGTGCCTACCTTCAATGGTTGTCTTCGGAGGTAAAGGAGATCAAACAAAGAAGGTAAATGGTAGGAAAGGACTCCCAAACTCCTTGGGTTTAATTATTACACTTCTAGTTGCCTCAGGACCATGATGTATATAAAACAACAACACAGAGTAAAGACTGAAAAGCAATATAACAAATTGCATGGTGGTGCCCAGGACTTACCAAAGTTGGCTGCGTGAAGAGTTATGGTGGAGGCCTCAGACCTGGGCTCGAGGTGTTTTCTCACCAGCCTCCTCTGTGAGTCTATTGATCTCCCACATTCATGTTCCTGGTTGAGAACATGGCTTGCGGGTGGAAAGTCAAGTAGTACTGAGGAGAGTTTCCCTAAGAAGAAATAAAGGCTTCCACTATAAATGTGAACTAAAAATAATAGAATAGTTATACAAGATTGTGGGAGGAAAGTAGGTGTGAACCAGCTAAAATCACTATCTATCAGAGCCGGAAGGCAATAGATAATGGTCAGCCCTGGTAAATCCAGATATAGCTATGTAGCATTTTGTATAGCAATGTAGAGGCAACCACTAGGCCTATAAAGGAAAATGATTTTAAGTAGTATTCCTTCATTGAGGAGTGAAGAGGCAGGTTTTTCTTTTCATCATAAGCCCTTCTGACCTATTTGATATATTTTTTAAGCTGTGTATTACATTTAAAAAAATATTTATTTTTTAGTTTTAGGTGGACACAATATCTTTATTTTATTTGTTTATGTGGTGCTGAGGATCAAACCCAGTGCCTCATACATGTTAGGTGAGCACTCTACCTTTGAGCCACAACCCCAGCCCCTGTGTATTACATTTTATTTTAAAAATATTATTATTGTGTGGTACTGGGTATTGAACCCAGCAGTGCTCTACCACTGAGTTACATCATCAGCCCTTTTTATTTTTATTTTGAGACTTGGTCTTGCTAAATTGCCAAGGCCAGTCTCAAAGTTGCAATCAAACTTCAGAGTAGCTGGGATTACAGACTGTTCCATTGCATCTGGCTTATTTAAAAATGATCTTAGCCAGGTGTGGGGTGGTGCACACTTATAATCCTAGCAGCCTGGGAAGTACAGGCAGGAGGATCACAAGTTCAAGACCAGCCTCAGCAACTTAGCGAGGCCCTCTGCAATTTATCAAGATCCTATCTCAAAAAATAAAAAGGGCTGGGGAAGTAGCTCAGTGGTGAAGCATCCCTGGGTTCAATCCCTGGTAAAATTATATTAAAAGTATAGGCTCTGAAAATTAAACAAATGAAAAGCAAAGGCTTTGGGTGTGGATTTATATCCCACCTCTGCCAGCTAGGAATCTTGGACAAATTTACTTAAACTTCAATTTTATCTTCTGGAAAACACGGAATAAAAATCATACTCATAGCCAAGCCGGTAATGCATGCCTATAATCCTCAATCACTTGGGAGGCTGAGGCAGGAGGATCTCAAGTTTGAGGACAGCCTCAGCAATTTAGTGAGACCCTGTCTCAAATAAAAAAACAAAAAAGGGTTGGGGATGTAGCTCAGGTGACAGAGCGCCCCTGGGATCAATCTCTGTACCGAAAATAAGTAAATAAAAAAAAAAAAATCATACCCCATAGGGTGGCTCTGAGAATAAAACGAGACAATACAAATAMATAAAGCACATGGGCCAACATTGGCCGATATTCAACGTCTATAATTATTAACGATTGTCATTATTAATAAACCATGGGGCTGGGATTGTACCTCAGTGGTAGAAAGCTTGCCTAGCACGGGTGAGGCACTGGGTTGGATCCTCAGCAACACATAAATATAAATAAAACAAAAGTTTGTGTCCATCCACAACTGAAAAACAAAAAGAAAACCAAAAACAGTTGTCCAGCTAATACTGAGGGCTCAGCACATAGTAGGCACTTATAACGGGTGTTGGTTATTACTTGAAACCACCAACCCGTGACGCAAAGGAGCCACAGTGCTGTGAGCGAATGCTTAAATATTGATGTGGTCACTCATTTATTCATCACTCGGCTCTCTGCCGCAGTGTCCGCGGAGGGTGAGCCCTGCCCTTAGCCCTCCCGCGCCGCATCCGAAGTCCTTTCCCGCACCCGGGAGGTTGGAGGCGGCAGCCCGCACGCTGCTGATGCGGGCCATCGCGTGGCGGGGTGGTGGGGGAGTCACTCTGGTGGGACCAGGGCAACCAGATGGGGCGGAGGGAGCTGAAGCAGGGGAGTGCGTGTCCGGGGCAGAGGCCGGTAGCAGGGGGCAGAGGCCGGTAGCAGGGGGCAGAGGCCGGTAGCAGGGGTCCGAAACACGGCCACTAGTCCGCGCCAAGGGAACGGCCATCCCAGGAGGGTGGGCCAGGACCACTTCCAGGCAAGGACTTCCCCGGGCAGGAGGAAGATTTGGGATTGGCCGGAGGCGCAGAGCGGGCATTTCGTTTAGACCGGAGGGCGTAGCGCTCACCCCGAGCGAGGCGGGGTGGCGCCGGGTGCCCCCGGCCAGGGCGGGGCCAGCGCGGGAGCCCCGCCCACCTCTGCAGAGGCCACGAGCCCCGCCCCGGGCCCGCGTCGCCCCGCCCCCTCCTGCTTCTGGCAGGTCTGCGGCGGCCGGGGAGCGAGCCGCGCCCCCGCAGCTCTGCCGCACCGCCACGCGGGTCGCTGCCGCGGGCCGCGGGACACGGGGCGGGGCCGGGGGCGGGGCGCTGACGTCGCCGCGCGGCCGGCGGCTGGGGAGGCGGGGAGGCGGGGAGGCGGCGGCGGGTCGGCCCAGCCCAGCCCGCAGCTGCGGCGGTCCGGTGTGAGGGCGGCGGCGAGCGGGCTCCTGACCGCCCTCTGCCGCTGTCAAGTTTGTCACTTGGTCCCCGCGTCTGCGCCGGGTTCGGCCAGCCTTCCCCCGCCGCCGCTTCCCCCGCCATGGCCCTGGTGCGGGACGCCGAGCCGGTGGTGGGGCCCTCCCGCTGGCTGCCCACGCACGTCCAGGTGACGGTGCTGCGGGCCCGCGGGCTGCGTGGCAAGAGCTCCGCCGGCAGCACCAGCGACGCGTACACGGTGATTCAGGTGGGCCGCGAGAAGTACAGCACGTCGGTGGTGGAGAAGACGCAGGGCTGCCCGGAATGGCGCGAGGAGTGCTCCTTCGARCTGCCGCCCGGCGCCCTGGACGGCCTGCTCCGGGCGCAGGAGGCCGACGCGGGCCCGTCGCCCTGGGTCACGGGCTCAGCCGCCGCCTGCGAGCTGGTGCTCACCACCATGCATCGCTCTCTCATCGGCGTCGACAAATTTCTGGGCCAGGCCACGGTGGCGCTGGACGAAGTCTTTGGTGCAGGCCGCGCCCAACACACGCAGTGAGTGGGGGGCGCAGAAACGGTTGAAGGCCTCACCGGGTGGGGCTGGTGGGAGATCAGGACCCCGAATCTCAGCGGGGCAGTGAGCCCCTTGCCTCGCGCTCAAAGGTGTAAACCGACAGATAAGTTGGTTTTTCGCATTTTGGAGTCCTCTCCCGGTTTCTCAAACACACGCTGGTGGGCTCTGGGAGGCCAGGGGAGTTTGAGTGGTGGCCAAGCACTAGCAGTAGATTGTCAAGGAAAGTTAGGAGTGGAATCCTGAGGCTTTGGGCTGGGAAATCAAAAAGGGAAATCTTAAGGCCTCGGGGCCTGTCTCCCTTTCCATGGAGAGGAAGGGAACTGCAGTCACTGCTCTGCCCTGTGGGGGAAGGAACGTGAGAGGCGTCCCACCTGAACCTCGAGATTGCTCAGGACATCTGCTTTTTGCCCTCCACTGTCTAGTGTCTTTTGCAGTCCCAGTGTCCAGGGTCCCTGGCCTGAGGACTCGAGGAGCCCCTAAGAAAGGAAATACTTAGGTCAGCTTTCAAGTGGCCTGCCTGCTGCCCTGCCCAGGTGGAGTCAGTGGTGGTTAGTGCACAGCAGGAGCTCTCTCCCAGGCGCTTAGCTTGAGAAGGGCCAGTGGGTTTTTTAATAATTTATTTTGACAGCATTTAGCCTCCCCTGTGTTAAGATCAAGGCTTCAGTCTTGTAGCTTCATTTCCTGTTTTGGGCTTGGGCAGGATCTGGAAGCCAGTCCTCAGGGCGGACCACCTGCTGTGGATCACTGAGTGGTTAACTTGTCTGTGACCTGGGAGGGGAGGGGAAGAGGATGGGAACTGGGGTGTGTCCTAGGTGGGGACTAGCTTGGTCTCCAAAGTTTTGCCCAGGGGAATGGCTCCCACTTAGTAAACCTAGGAAGGGCTGCCAGAGGAGAGGAATGAGCCTCCAGCTTGGTGCAGAACCAGATGAAAGCAGAATTTGAGTAGAAAAGGGTCTGACCTTGAACATTTTTCAAAATGTGGCTAGAGAAGGGCCTTCCTGGCTGGCTGCAGCCTGGTGTGGGAAGTGGGTTAGCATGGGGCAGGTTCCAGGCAAGCCTGTGACCTGACTCCATCTCCCCCTGCTCTGGCCTTCTCCCCTCCTTTCCTATGACTTGTTGTTCAGTTGCTTGGTGTGGGATCATGTGGTATAGCTTGGCCCTTGTTTTGTTTTTTTCCTCCCTCTTTCTGTGCTCTCCTTCTTTCCTGGCTCAGGGAACCCAAAGGGGTGGGTGTGGGGTGAAATGCTCTCTCCTGGATTTCTTACCGCTTTCTTTTTCAGAAGAGGTATCTGTCTCCAGTGTACCTCTTCCCCCTCCCACTGCTGAGCTACTCTGGCCAGGCTGGTGGATGACTTATCTGCTGTGTGTTGGGGGTTGGGGGGAGGGGAGCAGACCAATTTAAAAAAAAAAAGACAGGGAGGAGCATCTTTGATCCCCGCCCCCCCAGTTCCTGCCCTTGCCTTACTCTTAGCCTCTGGWTCTTAGCTGAGCCAGCCCAGCCTGCAGGTCCAGGTGGGCCTGTTTTCAGCCAAGAACAGTGCTGGAGAATTTGACTTACCACCCCTTGATCTGAACAAGAGCCTTAATTTACTTTATAGAAGTCATCTTTTCCACCAGATCATTCCACACCCACCTGGCTGTCCTTCCTCTGATGCATTGACCTGGGCTATTTATAGAGCTTGGAGTTGGCAGGAGTGGGACAGGATACTTAGGGTGGGCAAAGGAAAACTCCATGAAATTGGCCTCTAGCTTACTGCACCCAACTTCATGCCCATTGACCCAGGGTGAAGGCTGCCACCCCTACTCAGTCCCCACCTCTGGCTCTAATGGCCACTCCTAGAGGTATATCTTGACCCTGGTATGGGATGCTAAGACAGTGAGTCTGCACATTGCCTAGTAGGAAGAGGGCTAGGAGGAGACCAGGGTGTACCTTCCTCAGCTTTGCATAATGGTGGAAAAGAACATCCACATGTAGCTGTGATGGTCTCAGGGAGGTCCTATGTCACTGACAGTCTAGGGAAGGGCAGGCTCTTGGTTAAGAGGAGATGGCTGTGTAGTTGTACCAAACAGATCCCAGTGTCAAGCCTGTCACCTTGTGGCAAGTTAGGTAAACTCCTGGTGCCTCAGTTTTCTCATCTGTGAAATGAGGATGATTGACTCCTTCTGAGGGCTGTGTGAGGAGCGAAATGAGAATGCAAGCAAAGCTTTTAGTGCAGTCCTTGGGCGTGCTAGGGAGGTCAGTGGACACTAGTAATCATGGAGGGAAGTTTTGGTAACTGTGTCCAGTAGTACTAGTCTGGAAGACCTTCCCTACTCTGGAAGAACTTGTCGTATGGGGAAGATAATCAAGACCTTAGAGTCTGGAAAAGCTTCAGGACCACTGTCGTGGGTGACAGGAATATGAGTTTCTAATGGAATGTCCTGACTCTGTGGCCTTCTGCCATGAGAACTAGGGCTGGGCATGTGGTCCTAAGCCAGGCTCAGATTAGCCTGTGGCTCTGCAGCCCTCCCTCATGACCTTGTCTGGAGCTGCCCCTGCCCTGGGTGGAAGGCAGGACAGCACAGTGCTGAGAGAACTGGAGACAGGGTTTTATTCCCAGTTCTGTGACTAGTGGACAGGTTTCTTGATCTGTTTCCTCATTTCTTAAAAGATCACAATAATCATCAGTTATAGATTGAATAAGATACCACCTCTGAAAACCTCAGTATGGTTCCTGACACATAGAAGCTTTCAAATTGTTGTTGTTGGTTTGCTCTGGAGCATTGGTTCTAGGTGCCCCCCAGTAGCCCCTGAAAGTTCTTTGTCAATGGGACAYTCTTTGAGGTGAGGGTTTTCACTAGATTTTTTTTTCCCAAATAATTGAACAGGAAGTTCTCAAAATATAACTTAACGTGGTATACAAGGATACTTAATTAGAACATCTTCTCCTCTACAGAAATGTGTGTGGACCATCATGGTTCTGCTGGGTGTGACAATCCCAAGAGATGCTTCTCTGCTTGCGGTGGGTTGGGAAGACCTGCTCTTGACCCTCTGGGAGCCTTGGTTTATGTGTATTTGGCAGGGAAAGGGCAGGTGCTCTCAGGAAATCTGTTCCACAATAGTGAACCTATACTCCCAAAGATACTGGACCTGATCAGCTTCCCCCTGACCCAAATGTGGAGTAAAATGGTCCCAGCCATTAGACCTAGAGTCTGGAGGCCTATTGGGTCAATAATTATGGGCTTGTCCCTTGGAAAAGCCAAAGCTATGGGTTTGATTTGGTTYGGTATTAGTTGTCTTTTTTCATCACAAAGACTAAAAATCTGTGTGGCTATCCAGGTTGCTAATTGTGATGTGGCCCCTGGAAGGCTCTGTCAACCTTTTGCCCAGACAGTGCCATTGGGGATTTTTGGGGGCRAGGGAAAGCTCGGGGGTCATGGTGATCTGAGACCTCTTTGAAAAGGCTGGTTTTGAGAACCCTGGGAAGCACCTGAGGGGAAATGCAGTTCATTGGCCCAAGGGTGGGAGTTGTTTGAGAGCTTCTTCCTTTCCCTTGGGCTTTCTTTCCCGGTGGGCTGCGTGTAACTGTAGTGAGCAGATGATGCCTGACCTGCAGCCTTCCCTCCACTGTTTTCCAGGTGTGAGTCTGTTGTTCAGGAAGCAGCTGAGGCCACTCAGGTCCCTGGCTTTGGCTCTTGGTCCAACCCCAGGCCTGGAATCCAGGCCGTGGGGYTTCTAGGGAAGGGTGTGGCTGCACTGTAGCCAGTCATTAGGACGCACAGGCATCTCTCTTGTTGTGGGCCACTTTTATTTGGGGTTGCTTGAGCAGCAGCTTCTGGGAGTGGGGAGGGGTAGGAAGTGTGACTCCTCTGTTGGTCTGGGCAGCTCCTTCTTGCTGGCACAGCAGCTTCCGCTTCTCTCTGCATCTGCCCTTGGCCCTGAGCCCTGGGTGGGAACTGGGAGGCTACCAGGGGCCTGTGGTCAGCCTCATCTCTGCCCCGCTCCCCTGTCCCTGTAGACAGCTGGGGAGGAGGCACCATTCTAGGCAACCTTGAGAGCTGTCCTCTTTTTTTTTTTTTTTTTTTTTGGTGGCAGCTGCCTGTCCCTCTTGTTATTGTTGCCACCCTGATGTGTGACACTCTTCTGCTCTTCTCATTGCTAAACTGCTGGTCTGGCCTTGTCCAGATGTTTCCCCTGCCCTTCCCACTGTGCTCCAGGACAGATGATTAACACAGTGACAGAAACTGTGGTGACTCTGAGGAAATCAGTCATCTTTTTAAAACTCTGCAGAATGCTGTAGCTCTTCTCCACAGCCAAGCAGTAAAAATGCGTCCACAACTTGGGTCCTCCATGTTCCTGGCAATCTGGTCACTTTATTCTTTCTCTGTTGGCCTCAGGCTGTTTCTTCTCTCAGGATTTAAAGGGGGCTTGGCTCTGGGACATGTGGAAACTGAGGCTGGAGGAGGAGAGGAGAGGACAGTGTCCTCAGCTACTCAGCAGTTAGCAGAGGGTAGAGGGGACGGCTCTGTGTGGCTCCTCTCTCTCTTTCGGTACTGGAGATTTGACCTGGGGGCRTATTACCACTGAGCTACATTCCCCACTCCTTTTTATTGTTTATTTTGGTACTGGGGATTGAACTTGGGGGTACTTGATCACTGAGCCACATCCGCAGCCCTATTTTTTTGTAATTTATTTAGAGACAGGATATCACTGAGTTGCTTAGCACCTCATTTTTGCTGAGGCTAGCTTTGATCTTGTGATCCTCCTGTCTCAGCCTCCTGAGCTGCTGGGATTACAGGCATGTGCCACTGTGCCTGGTAAACTAATTTTTATTTTGAGGCAGGGTCTCGCTGAGTTGTGTAGCACCTTGATAAGTTGCTGAGACTGGCTTTGAACTTGTGATCCTCCTGCCTCAGCCTCTTGGGCTGCTGGGATGACAGGCGTGCACCACCACACCCAGCTCTGTGTGGATGCTGTTAAACCCAGCAGCCTGCAGAGCTG